TTTTTCTAATTTTTACCAAGTAAAGGCCACTCGGCCAAGGTGCCTTTGGGTTTGTGTCTATCCAGAGAGGATGTTTTGTTGTTTTGTTTTTAATTCTCTAACAGCACTTAATTGTGGTTGTGGTTTCCAGATTGGTTCACAAAAGGACACTGTTGCAATGCACCTTCAGAAGTAGGACTTTTCAAAGATCCTCATCAGGGTAGATAGAAAACTCTTGGTTTGCTTGATAGAAACTGACATGCTTTGCCAAAAGTATCTAACGAACAAACCCCAGCAAGCACATAAAGAGTTGAATTCCTTAATATTAAGAGCACTGAAGTAGAAAGATGTTAGGACAGGAAAAAAAAAAGCACCCTTCATTACTTTAAGCTAATGGCAGCAGACAGTGTAACTATTTTTCCAGTAGCCAGAAACACCAGCAGTGAACACAGTGTGGTTTTGTGACTCAAATGTTTATTTTTCTAAGACGACAAGCAATTGTAGCAAAAGGTGTATTTTACACCTTTTAATGAATCTTTTAAATGGCTTTTGAAGCCAGTGACTTCTTTGCATACATAGATTAATATATCTACTAAAATAATTTATGGAACCATATATAGATGTTATTTTAATGTATGTAATTTGTAGACAACCCTGATGAATGTCGACAAAATATGCCTACTTTAAAAGAGTAACAAAGCAAAGGGTTATATGTATTAAAACTCACCTAAAACTGTTGAATTTCAATCCTTATTTCCAGAAATGTGGGATTATTTTATGTTATTAGATGAGAATTTAGGTCTTTTATTTTTTTAAAACACTTTGGTACTACAATGGATGTGTAGTTAATACTAGACTGCTCTGTAAAAAATACATCAAAATAAATGTTATATTTATTTAAATACCAATTTTTAAAAAAAGATTTTATTGGGGAATTGGGAAATGGGAACAGCCAAGTTGTTGTCCTTCAATCTTAAGTTGTGGAGGGTGCAGGTAGCTCAGTTCCAAGCCCAGTCACCATCCAGCCGCCCTTCGGCAGATCGCAGCTGCTCAGCTCAAGATGCTGTGTTCAGTCTTAGTTGCTGGTGGGCATAGCCCACTATCCCTTGGGGGAGTCAAACTGGAAACCTTGTTGCTAAGAGCATACACTCTAACCACTGAGCCATCCTGCCACCTGTGGGCAGCTCAGTGGCAGCTCAGCTTGGGCACAGCATCACTGGCCCATATGGGAATTGAACCGGGGACCCTGTTGCTCAGAGCTTGCGCTCTTAACCAACTGAGCCACTTGGCCGGTCCTTAAATATCAATTTCTATAAATGTAGTTTTGATTAAGACCAAAGAAACTTTGTTTTGTTTTGCTAGCAAGGTATGTAAGAGGGACTTCTTTAAGATGGAAAAAAAAAAGATAAATATGACTAATAAAATGGCAATAACTATATTAATAATTACTTCAATCAAAAGATAGCTGTGAATAAAACTTGAATAATGTAGAAATTGGACAGAGTTGTTCTTATATTAAAACAAAAGATTTCCTGTATTACAACTTATTTATTATGTTTGCATGTTAGAGGTAAATTGTCTAAGTGGTTATTTTATAGTTCTTTCTAATAAAATGTACAAACACAAACAGAAGTACCTAGAATGCCCATCTGGGGCCTTTGATGGTGACATAAGCATGGGCTTGGGCTTCGGCTTGGACTTGGTCTGTGAATTCAGAATCTAGAGGTTCAGGTAGCGTATGGATCAGGGTAATTTTCAGTGGGCCAAAACCCACAACCTTAGTTTCTCCTCAACTCTCTTAACTCCTAACTCTTGGTGTTTACAGCGGTGGGGCTGGAGGTGGTAGCTTCCCAAAAAACTGCTGCACTCCCATGTTCACTGCAGCATTATTCACAATAGCCAAGATGAGGAAACAACCTAAGTGCCCATCAACAGACGCATGGGTAAAAAAAATGTGAGATTGTGTGTGTGTGTGTGTGTGTGTGTGTGTGTGTAATTCAGCTATGAGAAAAAGAAATCTTGCCAGTTATGACAACATGGATGTACCTTGAGGGCATTACGCTAAGTGAAACAGCCAAACAGAAAGACTGCATGGTATCACTTATATGTGGAATCTAAAAAAAAAGTCAAAATCATGGAAACAGAAAAGTGGTTGCCAAGGACTGGGGGTGATGGAAATGTGGAGAGGGTAAAAAGGAACAAACTTTCAGCTGTATGAATAAAGTGAAAATTTAATGTAAAACATGGTGACTGTAGTTGATAATAGTGTGTTGTTATATAACTGAAATTAACTAAGTAGAATTTAAATATTTTCACCAAAAACAAAACAGGTGATGGATGTGTTGATTAACTCTATGGTGGGAATCAAATGAAAACAGTGACAACAATGTAAACACATATATACATATATGAAATACACAAGATGTGGCCAGGAGCACATTACTTCCTGGAGATTCAAAGGAGATTGTGTCCCTACAGGACAGGATGGGATATTTTGTTCTAATGTGCTACTGAGATAACTTTACTTCTGCCAATCCCCACCCCCACACACCTTGGAGAAACTATGTCCTCAGAGACACAGGCATCTTTTTTTTTTTTTAAAGATTTTTATTGGAATTGGGGGATGGGAACAGTGCTGGGGAATTGGGGGAAGGGGAACAGACAAGTTGCTGTCCTTTGATTCTTCAGTCTAGTTGTGGAGGACGTTATTTCACTTCACTAGCCCAAGTTGGCACCATCATTGTGCTCTTCCTGGGCGAGGCAGATCAGTCTCCAGCTTCTGGATGGCTGCTCACGGCAGCTGCTGGCTGCTCACGCTGGCTGCTGGCTACACACAGTAGCCCATGGCAACCCACTGCAGCAGGGGCTGCAGCCTACGTGGCTGCCACCGACTCATGGCAACCCAGCTCCAGGTTGAGCTATTGTTCAGCATCTTATCTGTAGAGGGCAGTGTCACTGGCCCTCATATGTGGGATCCGAACTGGGACCCTCTGGCGTTCCAAGCCAGCTCTTAACCAATTCGCCACTCGACCGGCCGAAGGCATCTTCTTTTTTACTTTGCCTATCAGGAGGTCCATTCTGTGCCAAGGAAATGGAGTGGTTTAAAGGCAAGTAGCTATTACATTAAAAATGTGCAAATTTGATGAACCAAGCAATTATGCGTTCTGCTGTCTACAAATGCTCACAACACACACCCAGGGAGTCATCGATTATGACAGCAAAAGATTTTTTTTTTTTTAAAAAGTATGGCGTATACTTAGAACAGCACAATATTTATAAAATAGGCAAAATTAATTCTTCCAATTAAGAGAATTGGGTCAGAATTTGTGCCCATGATGTAGGGGATAAAGGCAAAGGGCTTCTCCAGGCCCTTGGATTCTAATTCTCTTTTATGGTGACCATTATGGGATCTTCTGCATCAGGGTGTAAAGTGTACTGTTGAAAACTTACAACCCCTATTCAGGCTACAATTGCATGTCACATATAGAATTATTAAGTGTTTCATTATTTGGAGATTTGGGGGAATTTCTTTGAAATGACAATAAGCGCAGTGATGTGACTACCAAAATATGATGGAATGTTCTCATAGGCAAGAATTTAGGACAAGGGAGAAAAGAGTCTCTACTGTTTGCTTGTGAAACCATGTCTAAATTGCACTTAATTCTGGGTACCACGGTTTAGCAGGGACATTGGTACACTGGAGTGCGTTTTCAAATCATCACGATGGTGAGGGAACCTGAAACCATGCTGCATGAGGCAGAGGGGAAAAAAATCCCCTAGCGAAGGAGAAAAACCTCCAAAGAGCATCATCATGTGAAAGTCTTTGGTATGTTTTACAGGCCCAGAACTAGAACAGGGGTTATACAAACACGCAGGTTCGACCAGGGAGATGTGAGAAGAGAGATCTGAAAGCAAGGAGACCCAGTCTGCTTCATGAGACCGAGACCTTAGGGAAAGTTATTTAAATTCTTGAATCCAGTGCTGCCCCACAGAACTTTCTGCAATGGTGGAAATGTTCCATGTTTTTTCTGTATAGTACGTAGCCACTCACCACAGGTATCTTATTTAGCACTTGAAATATGGCTAGCATGACTTAGGAACTGAATTTTAAATTTTAATTTATTTACATTTAGCTACATGTGGCAGGTGACTACAGTATTTGAAAGGTGCAGCTGTAAGCCTTAACTTCCTCTTTTCTGAAATGGGAATAACAACACTTACCAAACTGTTGACCTAAGGTTCACATGACAATATATGTGACCTCCGAAAACCTGTACCGTAGTACTACGCAAGTGTTAATTCTGTTGATAATTGTTTTATTGTCTTATCCTCAAGAAGAGTTGCTAACATTTGGAACTAAAGAAAAATAGAATAAGCAGTCAAGAAAGTAGAGTTGCCTGAGTATGTTTTTCAAATATAGGTTGAAGGCTGGCATACCGGTATATTAGAGAAAGGACAAAAACACCCTGGAGAGCTGGGCTACATGCAACACATCCTTCAAGGCCTTCCGGGTCTTGCTGCCTCCCCCTGGCTGAGTTAACCACCCTCCTCTAGGCATTACCAGGACAGTTTTCACACTGTATTGAAAAAAACAAAGTGTTCACTCAACTATACCTGAGAGCAGGTGCCTCATACCTGTGTCATTCAAGGTGGTGTCCCCTGTGGTGTCAACTGCCAGGCACATAGTCCTCAATCGATACTTGTTGAACGATGACATTACCATATACTCCATATACTGTTGAAAGTATAATTCTCTGATAATAATTATTGGTGGGAAACATTATGACAGTTCTTGGGGGACGAAGTGGATATGAATACCGGCTCCCAAAGCGGCACGGTTGGACATCCTCGGTGCCAGAAGGCCTGCCAACGATGACCTCTCTTTTTTTCACGTTTTCCCTCCCTCCAGTCTTCAGTCACGAGATCGCAACAGCCGGCGGGGTGGTGGAGACGAGAGGTTCGCGCGAGAGAACTACATTTCCCAGCTGACTCTTGTGCGCGCGCCCCCGTCGGCGCGCGGGGGGCGAGTGCACCAGGCGCTCGCTCCCTGCGGAGCGCTCCTTGCCTGCCAGAGCCTTTGCCAGGGGATGAGGTGGGAGGCGCTAGAAACCACTTCGCTACAGCCAACCGCCCAATGCAGCACTCGCTAGCTCCCCCCGCCAACAGAAGCGCCCGCGGAGCACAATGCAGCACTGAGGCAGCGCCGCGGTGGAGGCTGCAGCGCCACGGCCGCCGCAGCATCGGCCGGGGCTGGGAAGGGGCGGCCCAGGCGAGCCGGGGGACTCTGGGCGAAGGACCCGGACCAGCTGCTCGGGCATGAGGAGCTGAGCGTCTCCAGCGAGGCGGGCTGACGGCACACCATGCAGGCGGCGGCGGCTGCGTCCGTGCCCTTCTTGCTGCTCTGCGCCCTGGGGACCTGTCCCTCGGCGCGCTGCGGCCGGGCAGGTAAGTTCGCCATCCTCTGTGGCTTCGGGACGTACCATTTGCCAGGAATCTCTGCAGTCCTTAAGAGCATTGCAAAGGAGCATCCCCATTTCCCGAGTGCGCGGGGAGATTTTTTTTTTTTTGAAGGGTGGTGAGAAGTGGAACAAAAATACGTGTGGGGGCGCGCGGGTGCATGCGAAGCCTCGGGTCGAATGCCTGTTTTTATTTTGAAGAAGAGGCATGCGGAGGATGGGAAAGGGGTGCTCTGCTTCTGGGCCCCGATCCTGGATGCTCTCAGATGATCTGGCCGAAGGCTCCGGGTCTGGTGTCTCTTGTGTCCTTCCCAGATGGAGTCCGGGAGGGAGGGGGCGGTGGGATATTTAGAGGGGAGGCGTCGGACTGCAGGAAGGACGAGTGTGAGTCAGGGTCATTATTTTCTGCTTTTCTCCCCATCCCTCCTTCTCTCCTTCCTGCGTGGAGGAGACGCCTCGTTGACGGAGCTGGAGAGGAGGAACGAAAACCGCTTCCTGGAGCGCCAGAGCATCGTGCCGCTCAGGCTCATCTACCGCTCTGGCGGCGAAGACGAAACCGGGCATGACGCGCTCGACACTCGGGTGCGGGGCGACCCTGGCGGCGGACAGGTGAGAGGCGCGGTCCTGGGGGTGGCCCTCCGCGCCGCCCGGCCTGCCTGCGACACTGGGTTTGCTCTCGGTTGCCCTGGAGATGCAGCGTCTTCCGTGAAATGAGCGCAGCCCTAATGCGAGTCCTGCACGGCGGTCCCTGTGCAAAAAAGAAGGAGGTGGGAGGTGGGGGGGGGGCGACAAAATCCCCAAACAACCACAGGCCCCCGCTTTGCTCGAGAGGAGTTTGTGCAGGATGCCTCCAGCAGGGCGGAGGCCCTCTCGCCTCTCTCAAGCAAAAGCCATGCATAGGCAAGAAGATACAATATTTGGGCAGGGTTTGCATCATTATTGTTGTGGTGGTTGTCGTTTTAATCCTACAAGAGAAGACTTTAAAAGTGATTTAAACAAAGATTAGTACTGTAGAAAAATTGGGAAAACAAGCCTTAGACATCCCTAACTAAACTCCAACACTAAAAATAAGCTAAACTGGAAGGTTTTCAGTTCAATCTGTGGACACCAGAGATGCGCCCTTCCAGAAAAGGCACCCCCCTCCCTCCTTTCTTCGTTGGTAGCTGCTCTCTTGGTGTAATTAGGGCCATGTTGTTTATTGGCATTTATAAATTGTGTTGAAAAACAATCTAACTTTACCAATTACCCGTATTTAGACCAATATCACATATCCACAGATATACCTGAAAAGTATTTTGAACTTACTAGTTAATTTCAGTAAATATTTTGGGGCTCTGTAAACATTTTTTGTATTTATATACATCAACCTGGCGACCAGTTCACCCACCTGTAAGAGCATATTAAGATAGAACTTGTTCATGTAGTTGAAAATTTGTAAACTTAACTGAAACAAAGTTATACTGATTTATCTGTATGTGTAAAATTTGTAAAAATAGGACAGTCCTGTTTAAATTTGTATTTGTAGCCAAATGCTTAGTTTTGTTGAAATTTTAATATAAGCTAGGAATTAATTTAAAGGGCTATAGTAATAGTCATCAAAGTTAGATTATTATAGTAAAAAGTCTAATATGCCAAGCCTTTAATTAAGGATTGCAGTATTTGAATTAATGTTTGGTAAATACCTATTTTTCTTTTCCATTTTAACTGGTTTCCATAGTAAAACTGAAGAAGAAGGGGGTACTGTCTTATTTTTCAATACTTTAGAATTACTTCTGTGGAGGAATGTTCTCACATTTATTTACAACTTTAGATTGTAAAAAAAAAATCTCCAGCAAAAGTAAATAAAATATTATAATGAACTCCCAGCTTCAACAATTAGCAATTCATATTATTGCCAATTAATCAACTCAATTACCAATCTTGTTTTATCTATATTCTACCTATTTTCTTCCTCTTCCTGTATTTTTTTGAAACAAATCATATCATTTCACTTATAAAAAAATTCGCTAAGCATCTCTAAAAGATAAGGATTCTTTTAAAAATGTAACCATATTGTATTTAATATATAGGTATATTAATATGTTTATTAATATATGTATAAATATATGTTAAATATTAAGTATATAAATATGTTTAAATATATTATGTATTGTATATATATAAAGGGAGCCAAAAAATGTATACACATTTTAAGAAAGCAAAAAACTGTATTAAAATAACACTGATGGTAACGACTTTGAACACCTCTTGTAATTGCAAAAGTCAAACGTGACTTGTATTCATCTTTTGTTATTGGTACATATTGTATATTACAATTTTAATACAGTTTTTTCCTTTCTGAAAATGTGTTTACATTTTTTGGTACCCTCTCTATATTGGGCCATTTATTTAACATTTATATTAAATAAATATATGTAAATATAATACATAATATATTTAAGCTTGTTTATTTGATCCAGGAACTAAATCATGTCTATAGACAGCAATTAGTTTTTTTCAGTCACTTTAATGCATAGTTTTTCCCTCCATTTTTTTTTCTTGCAATTTATTCATTGGAGATGTGGGGTCTTTCATCCAGTAGAGATTCCCAGTGTGAATTTTTGCTGATATAGCCAGTGCTTGCTTTAAAACAGATCACAAAGACTTTCTCAGAGAGGAAGGGAGACGGAAAGAAATAGAAATGCAGAAAAAGAAAACTGCAGGATTGAACCTGGAAACACCGTCTCTGTCTCATGCTGGTAATGTCCTCAGGTACCTCTGCCCTTCTCTTTGTTGGTGAAATATCATCACTTTTGGACAACAGGCCAGACCTCCTAATTTTCTCCTTATTTATGGATCTCTGCTTCTGCAGTTTTTTGGTTCATAGGTCTCTCCACTTGAGGCAGAAGATACCTTAGATCCACGCAGCTTTTGCTTTCTACAGCAGTAAACCTCACCGTTGGCTCTGGCTTTTGGTGAGGGCTGAATGAATTGGTAGGATTTAGGTTAAACAGCATGACTAGATTATTAATTCAAGTCAAAAATGAAAGTGAAGCTACTGTCTTCTCATCAAAGTAATTATTACAAGAAATTATCTCAGTGCCTGGCACATCATAAGGTACGCACAGTCATTTGGTTGGATGTCTCAATCACCTGGGGAGCCTTTCCGATTCCCCGTGCTCCTTAAACTACAGTTGGAAATCATTGACACAAAAACTGAATCTGGCAGTTAGAGTTGTGAAGACCTACTTGCCATATGCCAACTTTTCCTACAGTTAGGAAACTAAGGCATTTTCCTGCATTTTGACATTTCTAGTTTCCTTAAGAGCTGTCCTTGGACCTGAAAACATAAGCTGATTGTATATGGCCCTTGTTATTTCTGTAGTGATTAAATAGATATATTTATGGCATCTTAGCTACCCGTAGATATTTTTAGCAACTTTCTTTCTGCTTCAGAAATGAAGTAGGATAATTTATATATAACTTAGATATTCATTTGTTGATTTGTTTATTTGAAGGCATTTATTTACTTGAGCTCCTACTGTGTGCCAATTTTTGTGCAAGGCCCTGGGGATTTAGAGATAAAAGACACAGTTGTAGCCTTTAAGAGATTTACAGACAAATGGGAAGATAAATGGGTGAATAAGCAGTAACATTCTGCCTTCTGTGTGATTTTCTGGAGGTGATCATAGAGAGCTGTGGGAGCAGGGAAGACCCATTAATTAACTAACTCAGGTGAGCAGTCAGGTGGGCCCCACGGGGGAGGTACTGTCTGAGCTCTATTTTGAGAGTGAGTAGGAATTGGCCGCATTAAAGGGAGGGGACAGGCATGTCGAACTTGAGGGGCAACCAGTACGTAGGAATGTGGGAATCAGGACACATTTTTGTTAATCACAAATGATTAGGATTTAAGGGGCAAAGGAGACAAAACAGGAAAGCAGATAGTAGATGCTTCAGCACCTTCATGATTTGTGGAGGAATCTGGACTTTGTCATAAAGGCAATCTAAAGATTTCAGTAAGGAGAGTTAATTGACCAAATTCATGTTATCGTGGGACAATCCTCATTGTTAGAAGTGAATAATTTTGATTTCAAAGAGTAAATGAATGGGTTGTTTAATTCACAGGTAAATGCCAATTCACAGACTCATTAAGCTTCATAAGAACTTAATTACTAAGTAGACTGAAAGTACTGTATAAATGAATTAATATTTATAAAGCACTTAGAACAATGCTGAGCATATTGTAAATACTATATGTTAAATAACATAAACCCCCTCAGGCTGCTTGAGTACTACTGAGAAATTTTATGACATCACTTTAATGCAAAAGTTGTGTCCTAGTTACCTGAATTTAACACATTCCCAGAAGTAAGTTACAAATTACTTGAATTTTCATAACTAACAGGAATCTAACAATGCTAGAGATCGAAGAGACCTTATAGGTCATCTAAAATAATTCAGGAGTTGTTTCTCACCTGGTAATATCAAGCCACTGCCAAGAGGAAGGAAACCAGCCATGTATTACTCAATGTTTCAGAAAGCTAACAAGAACTACGATGGTATAAAACACCTTACTTTTACTCTCAACATGTCCTTGTTTCAGTTTTCATCACTAAACGGAATAGAACACTTATGTTTTCAGAAGAAATGTAGATTGCAGTTCTGTGGAAATACTGGCAATTGGTGTGACATAATTTTATTGATAAGAGTTCGTGTTGCCAGAGATTTCTTTACATGAAGTTATTTGAATGCATACTTTATTTTTATCCCCAGTGGGATGATCAGCCCATACTGAAAGCTTATTATACCATAAAATCCTAGAAATGATTTGTTTGACAAAGCAGTCATATTCGATTGTGGGTAACCTTGCTATCCTCAAGGTTGTCTATCTAGTCTGAAGTGATTTCAACCCTGTAAAATAGCACTCACAGCTATAATATTCAAAATATTCAGAGTCTTTCTTTTCTTCTTCTGACTTGAAATTATTTGTGCTGAAGGAATTGTTTCTTTGAAGATAAAAGGATAAAACAGTTTTAACTGGACACCCATATGGGCAAGCTATCACCTATTGAGTCTTATTGGTGGTTTGATACCAATAATCATGTAATTGCTATTTTTAAGAATATGCTCCTTAATGGTTACTCCTCTTTTTGCTAGCCACGCATGACAGGTTTATAGTAGCATCAAAGATAGGTTATTTGGTGGTATATTTTGTTGTGTGGTCACCCCATAAATTTTCAATGATTTGTTTTTCACCCAGTGGTTACATTTCTCTACATATCGCAGAATTTCCTTTTGTCAGAAGTCTTTGTAGTCAGTGACTAGTTGGGCTACTTATTTATCTCTTTCCCTGGAAAGTGTTGTAGCTTCTCAAGTAGTCAAGTGCCAAGAACACAGACCTACAAATTATCATAGTTTCGATAATCAGTAATGAATGGGGAATGTGCAAGATGGTAGCAAGATGGCAAGCAGTAGGAGTGCTCCGTTTTTATGATTATATTTATTCATCTGCCTAAGCGTGGATAAGCTGTACGTCAAATGGTGCTGTGTCACTTGGGAGCACTGAGTCAGCTTGACGGTAAATTGTCTGCAGTACTGCTGCCCCAGCGGAAAAGGGCTGCTAGGAATTA